CGATGGCAGTGGGGCGGAGGCCGGCAGGGGAGATCACAGAATACCCGAGCGCCGGCCCCGCTGTGTGCCTCCATGTGCCGGTGGGGAGATCAAAGATCTCCCTCACCGGCCCACAGGCACTGTTACAGGCGGCTGCAGGCTGGGGAGGGAGTGAGGAGAGAACCTGGTGGAGCTCTAACCAGCAGCTCCGCCGGGTCCTCTCGCGGCAACGCTCAGATCTCGCGAGAGTGAACTCTAGCCTGCAGGTTAGAGTTCACTCTCACCACTGGACCACCAGGGAAGGATGGCAGCATGGTCCCCCTCATGGCACCCCAGGCAGAACGGATCCCCCTCATTGCAGAACGGCTCACCCCCCCCCCCCACCCCGCCATCCCAGGCTAGAGGTAAGAAGGGATTATTAATAAAAAATATATAAATAAATAAATCTACACTTTGCTACACAGCACCCCCAGATACACACAGCCCCCAGACACACACAATAGCCCCCAGATACACACAGCCCCCCAGATACACACAGCCCCCAGACACACACAGCCCCCCAGGACATACACACACAGTAACCCCCCAGACACACACAGCCCCCAGATACACATTGCAGCCCCCACAGACACACACATACACAGCCCCCCAGACACACACACACACAGCTCCCCCAGATACACACAGCCCCCCAGACACACACACACAGCCCCACAGACACACACATAGCCCCTCAGACACACACACACAGCCCCCTCAGACACAGACAAAGCACCCCCTCAGACAGACAAAGCAACCTCAAGACACACACAGCACCCCCAGACACACACAGCCCCCTAGACACACACACAGCACCCCAAGACACACACACAGCATCCCCAGACACACACACAGCACCCCAGACACACACAGCCCCCAGACACAGCACCCAGACACACACGCAGCACCCAGATACACACGCATCACTCAGACACACACAGCACCTCAAGACACACACAGCATCCCCAGACACACACAGCACCCCCAGACACAGCATCCAGATACACACGCAGCACCCAGATACACATGCAGCACCCTCAGAGACACACACACAGCACCCTCAGACACACACACAGCACCCTCAGACAAACACGCCGCACCCAGACACACACAGCACCCCAGACACACACAGCTCCCCCAGACACACACAGCCCCCAGATGCACACAGCCCCCAGATGCACACAGCACCCCCAGACGACACACAGCCTCAGACGCACCACAGTCCCCCCAGATGCACACAGGCCCCCAGGACACACACACACACAGCTCCCCAGACACACACAGCACCCCAAGACACACACAGCACCCCAGACACAACACAGCACCCCAGACACAGCCCCCAGACACAGCACCCAGACACACACGCAGCACCCAGATACACACGCAGTACCCAGATACACACGCAGCACTCAGACACACACACAGCATCCTCAGACACACACACAGCACCCTCAGACAAACACGCCGCACCCAGACACACACAGCACCCTCAGACACACACATCAACCAGATACACACGCAGCACCCTCAGACAGACACTGCTCCCTCAGACAGACAACACCCTCACTCACACAGCACCCACACACAGCATACTTCCACACATATACAACACACACACACCCACATATATATAATAAATAAAATAACTCTCATTGAGTTAACAGACAAAAAAAAAAGAAACCTAGAATAAGACGGCAGATAAAAACACCCTCACACACAGCACCCTTCTTACATACACACACACACACACTGCGCCCCTCACACATACAATACGTCCAAATATATATATATACACACACACTACAGCACCCCTCACACGGCACCACTACACACATTACGCTCCAGATACACGCTAGATCCCTTACCCTATATGCACTCTTAATCCTCTACACACACACACAATCTCCTATACACACTCTGAGTCCTTTACACACTAGATCTCCTACACACTGCCCCTAGCCACACATATTACACCACAAACACAAATGAAATTGACCTATTTACACAATACCACACCACACTCTACACACACACAATCCCACAAGCAGGCTCCAAACACATGCACCATACGCTTTCCTGGCCCTTTTGTCTTCTGGTATCCCACTTATGGAGACACCAGAGACAATTTAAAAGCAAACACAGCGCAAGCATGTTATTAAATTTGCTTGCGCTGGGCAGAACAAATTCAGGGCCTTTTTCTAATGCCAGAGCTCTTCCGCGGGGCTCTGCGCATTGAACCAACATGCTCACTTTGAGAGGGGGCGTGCTTGTCATTAGTGATGACAAAACACACTCTCTCTAGCCCCGCCCCCTTCTTAGGGGGCCGCTCTGATTGAAAAATGCCCGGGCCAAATTTTTTTCCCAGTCCGGTCCTGGCTGACATGATGACATGTTCAGGAGGGTATGTTATTCTATTAAGGATATTTGCAAGCATATAGTTTAATCTTATAAAATCTGCTATAAATCTTTGTAATTTTTGTTATGTCTATATGTATATTTTTTATTTAATAAAATATTTTAAAAGACAAAACTTTATTGCTTAGAAAGACAATCCTTATTTTATATTGTATTCTCAATTATTTATATATTTTAAATAGAGGATCTCTTACTAACTACATGTATTTAAAATTATGGCTAAGATATCTGTATGGTTAGTCCGGCTAATTTCTATGCTTTAATACGTTATAGTGGTAAATAGGAAAACCAGCTGTGGTTACAATCCAATCACAAGTTATCTGCAAGTTTTTTGCAGCAATCATTTGCTTATCTCTTGCCATATGATCCTCATTAATATATACTGAAGGAAAATAGTTATTTAAAATTTTTGCCTTTTCCTTGTCTTCATTAACTAACAGACCCATCTCTGTTTCCAGTGTACCTACACTTTCATTTTATGTTTTTTTAGGGGTTAGTTTTGCATTGTTTGGCTATCAATTTCTCATTTTCTAGTTTAGCCACTTTAATTGCCTTTTTGCAAGCGTTATTGGCTTCCTTATATATAATATAGGATGCCTCTGATTTGTCCGATTTAAATGCCCTTTTCTTATTTTTAATCTCTTGTTTTACTTCTCTACTAAGCCACATTGGTTTTAATTTGTTTCTTTTATATTTATTACCCAATAGTACATACCGAGTAATGTACCTTTCTAATGTTTGTATTCGTGTGTGTTTTCCTAAAACTATAGTATTTATTTAAAATATTCAACCAGTGAAGAGTTCGTCACATATCTGTGATGTTGTTACGGTAATCTCAGGGGATATACAGAGATTCATGGAATTCACATCAGATACCTTTAAAACAATGGAGAGACATGTACTTAGAGGAGAATTTGCAGACACTTGGTTTATCCAGTCAATGCAGAAGCTATAGAGCACGATGATTTGTAGTAAAATGTGTAAAAAGAGATTATATCTTAACATTTTTTTATTTTGAGACTTTTTATAAGGGAGGATGGAGTGAGGTGTAATTAGATTTATCCCAACTTTGGCCGACATGATTAGACTCCTTCTACCTAATAACACCCATCCTGGCCACCCACGGCTGCCATCAGAAATTTTGGGGCCCCTGACAAAGCACAAGGTCTGGGGTCCCCCTCGCTCCCTCCCTCCCCCCTGGGCCCGCCCACGCCCTAACTAGTTCACTGGCAATGATGCAGGACTGAATGTGGTGTGTATAGTGGAAGTGAATTAGAATGTGTGTAATGGATGTTGTGTTTTTGTGTATTAAATACTGTTTGTGCAGTGAATGCAGAGTGTGTGTTTGTGTAGCGGATGCAGTGTGTATAGTGAACGCAGAGTGTGTTTGAGTAGTGGATGTAGTGTGTGTACAGTGATGTAGTGTGTGTTTTTGTGAACTAGATGCAATGTGTTTAGTGGATGCAGTGTCTGTGGTGGATGTAGTGTGTGTATTAGACGCAGTGTCTCTGTATAGTGAATGCAGAGTGTTTCAATATGTGGTGGATGTAGTGTGTGTACTGTGAATACAGGATGTTTGTGTAGTGGATGCTGTGTGTATAGTTAATGCAGAGTGTGTGTCAGTGTAGTGAATGCAGAGTTTGTGCATGTGTGTAGTGACTGCAGCATGTGTGTTCGTGTAGTGAATTTAGAGTGTGTGCTAATGTGTAGTGAATGAAGAGTGTGTGTTAATGTGTAGTGAATTTAGAGTGTGTGTTGTACTAGTGTATGCAGAGTTTGTGTTGTATTAGTATATGCAAAGTGTGTGTCAGGGTAATTTTCACATTCATTTTATATTAAATTTAATTAAATGTTATTCCCCCCTCCCTGCTTCTTACCTGTGTCCAGGGAGGGGGGAGATTCCATTCCCTGGTGGTCCGGTGGCATGGTGGGGCCCCCGGCTCCCTGTTACTGCAGAGGGGACCCAGCACACTGCGTCTGCACATTCAGCTCCTCTCTTCCAATAACTCTCACGAGGAGGGAGAGGGTGGAAGGTAGGTGTCCTGATGTCTGTGTATTAGGAGAGGGTGGGAGGTAAGTCTCCTTATGTATGTGTATTAGTGGGAGGTAAGTCTCCTTATGTCTGTGTATTAGGAGAGGGTGGAAAGTAGGTGTCCTGATGTCTGTGTATTAGGAGAGGGTGGGAGGTAAGCCTCCTTATGTCTGTGTATTAGGGGAGGGTGGGAGGTAAGTCTCCTTATGTCTGTGTATTAGGAGAGGGTGGGAGGTAAGCCTCCTTATGACTGTGTATTAGGGGAGGGTGGGAGGTAAGTCTCCTTATGTCTGTATATTAGGAGAGGGTGGGAGGTAAGTCTCCTTACGTCTGTGTATTAGGAGAGGGTGGGAGGTAAGTCTCCTTACGTCTGTGTATTAGGAGAGGGTGGGAGGTAAGTCTCCTTATGTCTGTGTATTAGGAGAGGGTGGGAGGTAAGTCTCCTTATGTCTGTATATTAGGAGATGGTGGGAGGTAAGTCTCCTTATGCCTGTGTATTAGGAGTGGGTGCGAGGTAAGTCTCCTTATGTCTGTGTATTAGGAGGGGGTGCAAGGTAAGTCTCCTTATGTCTGTGTATTAGGAAAGGGTGGGAGGTGAGACTCTGATGGTGAGAAGTCGGAGAATGACAGATTTTATTTAATAGTGCGTTTCATGTGACATTAAGCTGTCATTACAGTGAGTTACACTCCTCATAGTTAAGATTACTGCTTGCTGAGTATTGAGGAAGGAGTCTTGGTGAGTCAGAATGGGACAAACAGACTGAAAACAGACATTTATCAGGGAATTAAGTGTGGGTCATGGTGGTGTGAATGGGGTGTGGGATGCTGGATTCCGAGCGATGTTATAAAAGACAAGTAATACAAGAAATATGACCTTAATTTCCTGGGAGAAAGGTATGTTAATATATTAACCAAAATACCAACTTAATCCGCGTCTGCCTTCTATAAACCTCGTGTGAAATAGCTCAACACAAAGGCTTCTTACATCTCTCTTATCGCATACCGGCTGCACCTATCGATTTCTGCATGATTTGGGAAGATTTTACACATACACACAGATTGTGACGGATGATAAAATCTGTTCTGTCCTTGTTTAAAATAATGGCTGCATGTGCACACACACACGTTGGTGTGAACAGTGCCCCTGAGACTGTGAGGGTTTGAGAGGGGAGCATTACTTCCCTTTCAGCTCTTGATGCATTGGTTTCTATGATGTCCCTCTGACATTTTAGCTGAGATTATCAATGTTGATCATCTCAGCCAATCCAGTGTATTCCCATAGGGAAACATTAGGAGTCTAGTGTGCATGTGCAGATAAACGCCATGCTGCGCCAATCAAGCGGAGACCATGTGATCGGTCAGCCAAGTTCAGAGAGCCACTAGAGGCATGTTAATCCGGCAATGGAAGCATTGCTGCAGCCATGTATCTATTAAACAGCAATGTTTACAGTTTTGGGGTTAAACAGACATACATAGGTTTTGGTGCCTATGGAGTCCCTTTAATATTAACAAACCCATCCCGTCCTGTTCTCTCTCATTCCCCTATGTGTCCCTGATCTGCTCGAATTTAAATCTCTCTAACAGAAAGGCCAACTCCCGGAGTGGATAACGAAGGGGGAGCATAACTGCTGCCCGGAGAGGTTGACATGGCAACAGGCAACAGGAGATACAATGTTTGGGACGCACTTGGACCGAGGACACTGGGAAATACTTACCAGACCACTGGAGAGCACGCTGAGGGAACTTTATCCGGCTCGTTGGGCTTTGGGGCATATTTTCGGGGACGTTGGTGTGCGGAGCCTTGGCCAGCGGTGTGGCACGAGGCGGACCTGATACGGAACTTGACTTTTCTCAAGCTTTTCCCTATTGTGGTAGCAGTGGAATTGTGGGTGTCTAATGTTATTGCCGATTCTCTTTCTCGCTTTCAGTGGGATCATTTTTGGGAGGTCGCTCCGGGAGCCGATGACAATGGTCTGGTATGTCCCACGTGCTTGTGGACCCTAGCAGACCTGTTCAGGAGATCGCTGGCTCTCGCTTCGTGGACAGCCTACCGGGCAGTGTGGGAGCGGTGGCTTGACTATGCGGGAGAGTTTGGTTTGTATTTTGCTGAGGGTAGGTTGCTGTCTACTTTGGCTTACCTGTCCTCCTTACGGGAGCGCACAGCTTTGGTGGCATCAGTGGAATGCAGTTTAGTGGCTCTTTCCTTTCTGATGCATTGTATGGGGTGGGAGGACGTTTCAAAAGAGTTCGTGGTCCAGAGGGTGCTTCGGGGATGGAGGCAGGAAAGGGTTCCTGATTGTAGGCTGCCGGTGTCCGTACACCTGTTGGATGCACTGTGTGGTGTTCTCTCGGCGGTGTGCTTCTCCGTTTGTGAGGCACTGCTCTTCTGGGTGGACTTTTCTCTGTGCTTTATGTCGCACTGCGGATAGGAGAGTTGGTGGCCGCGTCAGCTAGAGCTCAGGCATCTCTCCGGAGGGAGGATGCTCGCACAGGGCAGAGTGGAGTGGATGTATTCATTCGGAAGTCCAAAACAGATCAGCTAGGACATGGGAGGTCGGTTAGCATTGGTGCTACTGGGGGTAGGTGGTGTCCAGTGGTGCTTGTAGGGCAATATGTACGTTTACGACCGGAGGCAATGGAGTCCTTTTTGCTTCACGCAAATGGGTCACTCTTAACTCGGTCTCAGTTCTCTAGTGTTTTTAAGGCTGGGTTGCGGGTGTTGGGTGTGGAGGACAAGGGATACTCTCCCCACTCCTTTAGGATTGGTGCAGCGATGCAGGCGCGGCAGATAGGGCTGTCCGATGCTTCAATTCAGCGCATGGGTAGTTGGGATTCCCGCAGATTTCGGTTGTATATTCGTCCTCACCTGTTATAGGCCTTTGTTGGTTATGCTGTGTTGCTTTCTCTACAGGTTACCCCCGGTATGTTTGGATCATTGGTCACTCCTTTATTTATTGGGTGGCCAGGCGTGCAGAGCAGAGACCATACGGCCCGGAATCTAGGGCTCCCGCGTGATCAGGTTAGGGTTCGATGGCGGGGGATACGGGGTTTGGGGTGGCACCAAGTGTATCCAGAGTGTGTCGCACTCCGTCGCTTCGTGACCGGGCCAGTGGTTCTGGTGATTCATGCTGGGGGGAATGACTTGGGGCGTGCCGTGCAGTGGATTTGATTTAGGCTTATAAGCAAAGGTGGTGGAGCGCGGCAGGCGACGGTTCAACATGACAATTTCTCGTTTTGTGCGTTGGCTGGGTGGCTTTGTGGCTCGTCATGTAGAGCTGGAAGGGAACAACTGAAACCTAATGAGGACAGATGGGGTCCACCTGAACGAAATTGGGTTGGATATTTTTAATTTGGGTTTACAGTCAGCCATTGAACAGGCGCTGGCTTCGGGGGGACGCAGTTCTCTCCAGGGATAGGTGAGAAGCTGTGATGGCGGTTTGTCCTTCGCCAGCAAGTGGAACTGAGAGCAGTGCCCGGACGGGCTTGGGGAGTTGAAGCCTGGTCTGGTTGAGGACGGACTTCAGGCTGAAGAGGCTCGGGAAGAATTAAGTTATGTTAGCTGTCTGCTGGAAAATCCAGCAGCTGACAGTTGGTTAAGTTATACTGGCTTGATAATAAAAGCTGTGGCCGTTGCCCTTACCCATAATTTGGTTGTCTGTGAGTTATTGGGGGGAAGGGTAACGGAAGGTAAAGGGAGAGGGTCAGCAGTCATGTTCCTGTGCACTGGGCACTATATTGTATCCTGAAAACATCAAACCTGCCCACTTCCTAAAACTCACATCTGGCCCCAGTCGCCTCCATCCTCTGAGCAGAAAATCCCTAAAACACACCCAATGTGAATGAACTGGTTTACCTCATTCCGGCTTGTCTTGTCATGAATTCTTTGTTGAGAGTCTCAAGGTGTGAGCTCATTACACACAGAGAGAGGATCTCCTTTGTATCCCATCCCTATCTGTATTTACTAACACACCATGTCCAGCTCTTCCTACCTGTGCATCCTGCTGGCCATTATCCCAACAGGTGAGTCTCTCTAGGTTTACTGGCAGATGGCATGTGCGCTTAGTGATGTGCCTGTCTTGTATGCTACGCTGCAGACTATGCTGGTGCTATATAATTGATAAGAATAGTAAGAGCACTATACACAGAATGTCGAGGCAGCCCCTTGGTGTCTAAATGCTGGAGAACGAGTAACCTTAAATAAGAGTGCCATTTTGTTAACCAGCGTTAGATATTTTGGGGCCCAGAACAAACCATGTCAAAGTGAATTAATAGTGAATTTAGATTTTAGTGCAATATTGGAAGATTCTCTCTGTCTTGATGGAGTCGTAGTAAAGCACGGAACATCTACCTTGAAGTTTGAGCACCTTGGGAGCCTGTTTTCACCTAAAGTTTAACACTCAGGTTTGGGCTCTCGGCCGTTCGTGCTATTTGTACCATGTTTGTGTTTCTCCTAGTTTTAATTTAACTCCTTGTGTTGTTTCTGCTCACTTTCTCTAGTTACAATGACTTTCTCCCTTAGAACTTCCTCTGCTTTCTGCTTCAGTAAATGTATCTCCCCATTTATTTGCTCTGTTTATATTCACCCTTGTGTCTGTTCTTTCCCCACTTTATATAATACAATGAGCTGTAATAATACAATGAGCTGTAATAATACAATAAGCTGTAAAACTATAATGAGCTGTAATAATACAATGTTGTGTAATTATACAATGAGCTGTAATAATACAATGAGCTGTACTGATACACCGAGCTGTAATAATACACTGAGCTGTAACAATACAATAAGCTGTAACAATACAATGAGCTGTACTGATACACCGAGCTGTAATAATACACTGAGCTGTAACAATACAATAAGCTGTAATAATACACTGAACTGTAATAATACAAAAAGCTGTAAAACTATAATGAGCTGTATGAATACACTGAGCTGTAATAATACAATGAGCTGTACTGATACACCGAGCTGTAATAATACACTGGGCTGTAATAATACAATAGGCTGTAATAATACACCGAGCTGTAATAATACAATGAGCTGTATTAATACACTGAGCTGTAACAATACACTGAACTGTAATAATACAATAAGCTGTAATAATACAATAGGCTGTAATAATACAATCAGCTGTAATAATACAATAGGCTGTAATAATACAATCAGCTGTAATAATACAATAAGCTGTAAAACTAAAATGAGCTGTATTAATACAATGAGCTGTAATAATACAATGAGCTGTAATAATACAATGTCATGTAATTATACACTGAGCTGTAATAATACAATAAGCTGTAATAATATACCGAGCTGTAATAATACAATGAGCTGTATTAATACACTGAGCTGTAACAATACACTGAACTGTAATAATACAATAAGCTGTAATAATACAATAGGCTGTAATAATACAATCAGCTGTAATAATACAATGAGCTGTAATAATACAATGAGCTGTAATTATACACTGAGCTGTAATAATACAATTAGCTGTAATAATACAATGAACTGTAATAATACAAAAAGCTGTAAAACTATAATGAGCTGTATTAAGACAATGAGCTGTAATAAGACAATGAGCTGTACTGATACACCGAGCTGTAATAATACAATGA